TAGTTCTTCATGACACATGAAAGGAATCCAGACAGTTACATTTATTCATTTATTTCATTAAATATACTTCTTCCTATGAAAGGAAATATTTTATGTTATATTAATGATCCATATGTTAATCATACATTGCTACAAATATTGCATAAGTTAACATGGTTTGCATTTATTTATTATTATTATTTATTTATCTGTGAGAAGTTCACAGAGATCGAGAATACACAATATCTAATAGTATATGCAATGTAGGTAAAGAATATTCTCGCCCCTCTTTTGATATCAATAAAAACATTGTATATAATGTTATGTATTAAGTATTCTCCTTTCCCGAGCATGGGAAATCTATGCTGCATTTGCTGACTACCGGTTTTTTTTCATTTGACATTGCACACAGGAGATCTGTCACTCAATTGTTGTATTTGAATTCTTCGTCAAAATATAATACAAAACACACAGAGTATTTCTCAAATAAATAAGAAAACTAAGTTCATTCTAGTAATTAATCCTCTTCTTGACAACCATAGAAATGAAATTCCAATGCATTTATATATACATATAATTATACAACAATGTACGATAACGACCTCAATCCTCCCCCACACCCATACTTTAATGACGATTGTACGATAAACCCTGTACCAACCCTGACAAGGATAGGTTCTAGTCATTTAACGCCTTTGACACTAAACTTATCAGGTTATTACAATTTACGTAAAAAGTTATTACATTTTACCGCAAGTTGAGATTATTACAATTTACGTCAATTTTGATTACAATTTGCGTATTACAATTTACGTCACATTTTATTACAATTTACGTTGTTATTACAATGTACGTCAAAATTATTACAATTTGCTGCAAGTATTACAATTTACCTTTTTATTACAATTTACGTCGTATCAACCCTTTACGTCTGCAGCAACAAGTGATGTGGCTTTTAAAAGTCTGTCTTTTATAGCCCTATTCTGCATGCTTCCCGTGAAAGAAAACACGTTTTCCATTATATGCATGCAATTTGTTGCATTTTGGCGATGTCGCTCACAAAAAAATTAGGAATGTGTTTTGACGAGCTGTTCTTCTTCATGCTTCGTCCAGAACGTCGTATATTGCTCATTCACTTATATATTTTCATATGACTTAAGCCCGGATACCAATACATCCATTTTCATGGTGGTGCGTTTTCAATGCTGTTCAGTATACTTTATGACGTCACGTAGCAAAGGCTTTGACGTCATTATGACAATGGCTGATGGAAGTAGAGCTGCTTAGCCAGGCAGTGTTTTCTGGATGTTTCCTCGTGTAGAATGATATTGGGTGATAAATAAAATCTCACTCAAGTGTCTTTTGATATCAAATATATCACCACGAGTTGATAAAAGTGAAAAAACTCAGAGACTCACACAAGATGAAGAGAGCGACATCAACCAGCTTTGATTTTCCTTTTCTCCGATAGAGCTTAATTTTTGCAAGTTTTCTTTCCAGTGTGCGTTCACTTATCAAAATCTTGTGATCATGAGCAAGAAAATATCGGATGTCTTTATTGCTCAAACCTAAGCATACGTATGTTCGAATGATGTTAACACCTCTCTCAATAGTTTGAGGTTAATAGGTATTCCAATATAGCTGTTGACTCTATTTAAAGCATTTAAGTGGAAATTTCCAGATACTAAGTGGAAATTTCCAGTTAGTAAGTGAAATTTTCCAGATACTAAGTGGAAATTTCCAGATACTAAATGGAAATTTCCAGATACTAAGTGGAAATTTTCAGATACTTAGTGGAAATTTCCAGTTAATAGGGATATGAATTTTTTGGGGACATGGCCCTAAAAGGCTTCCGTAGGATGCTCATGTTCACTGGAAATATTTGGAAGTTATATTCCGTATTTTGAATTAACCCAGTCCCCGGTGTTTTTTTTAAATTAGTGTGAAACGTTTGGTAGCAAAGTCAAAGCAAAATCGGAGTAGTGTGTCGGCGAATTTGCATCAAGGCTGTAGTATTTTTCCACCGTTTAATGGAATTCAATGTAGCTCTGGTCACTCATATATTTTGTGTCCCATGGCTCAAATCTATTTGCGTCTGTATCGTGTTCCCTGACCTCGATAATCTGTTGGATGAAGGCACAGCTCTCTACAGTCACATAGTTAACACCGAAGGCTATGAGGGGTATTTAAGTCATAATCAGCTACCAGCAGCCACTGCCTCAAGCGATATTGTCTACATAACAGATCAGTTATTTGGCTCCGTCACAGGTGCTCCAAATATTGAAGCAGGGAAAACAAATTTCATAGAATCATTTCAACAAGCAATATTGATATCCCCGTCATTAACTTTTAATGATGTCTCCATTGCAATTTTTACGGATTTTGATTCCTATGCATTATTTGCCTCATCAGCGGAATGGTTTGGGTCAGATTGAACCGAATGGACAAGCGGTTTTACCTATGTTTAGTAGTATGGATGTGTGAAGATTCCGGGGTAGAATAGGTCTTCAGCAACCCATGCTTGCCGTAAAAGGTGACTATGCTTGTCGTAAAAGGCGACTAACGGGGTCGGGTGGTCAGGGTCGCTGACTTGGTTGATGCATGTCATTGATCCCAATTGCGTGGATCGATGCTCATGATATTAATCACTGGATTGTCTGGTCAACACTCGATTATTTACAGACCGCCGTCATATAGCTGGAATATTGCTGAGTGCGGCGTTAAACAACAAACCAACCAACTGTTACATCTTAACAGTATATCAGGCGACTATGCTTGTCGTAAGAGGCGACAAACGGGATCATGTGGTCAGGCTTTGTTTGTTGCATGACATCGATCCCAATTGCGTGGATCAAGCAGTGCATTGTCTGGTCCAGACTCGATTATTTACAGAACGCCGTCATAAAGCTGGAATATTGCTGAGTGCGGCGTTAAACGACAAACTAATGACTTTTTTCTCGATTGTTACCTGAAACTGCATTTAAGCAGAATGACTTGAAAAATAGATCGTTGTTTAAAAAAATACCCATTGACTGAAGGGAGTGAATACTTATTAAAAGATACTAAGTGGAAATTTCCAGATACTAAGTGGAATTTTCCAGATACTAAGTGGAAATTCCCAGTTAATAGGGATATGAATTTTTTTTGGATATGGCCCTAAAAGGCTTCCGTAGGCATCCAAACAATCAAAAGTGTGGTATGTAAAATGTGGAATTCAGCAATATGACATTTAAATTGAGATGTCGTCGTTGTTGGTTAGTTGGTTGGTTGGTTTGTTGTTTAACGCCGCACTCAGCAATATTCCAGCTATATGACGGCGGTCTGTAAATAATCGAGTCTGGACCAGACAATCCAGTGATTGATATCTTGATCATCGATCCACCCAATTGTGATCGATGACATGTATCAACCTTTTCAGCGAACCTGACCACCCGATCCCGTTAGTCGCCTTATACGACACGCATAGTCACCTTTTACGGCAAGTATTGGTTGCTGAATACCTATTCTACCCCGGAATCCGTACTAATGAAGATAAAAGTAGCTCCAAACATACGACCTTCGCAACCAACCGTCCCTCAGGTCTTACCTCACCCATTTAATTCATGGTCTTAGACATGGTTATCAAACAATCAGAAAAGGAATACTCTGAGGGTTGGAGTTAGGGTTAGGGTTAGCATAACGAAGAATTAGTGAAGCGCCCTTAAAATCAGTATACGTATTTTCTTTCCGACAGTGACGGATTTGATTAAAAAAAGGTTACTGCTATTTTACACATACCGTATTCGACTTAATAAGCGCCCCGCTCTAATAAGCGCCCACTGTGATATTTGCTTATGATCAACGTACACACGACTTATTTATTCGTGTATAATATGCACTCGTGTGTTATATGCACCCTTAATTATGGGCAATTAGATTCTTGAAACAGATATCTGTCGTGTAATATACCCACAGACTTTTATTTTGTGGCTGTCAGCATACACCACGAAACTTACGACCTTACAACTAGTTTTGAGAACCCCCTGTGCGCCTATTACGTCGAATACGGTAGCACGTTTCCAATTTTATCTAAAATGATCTTTTAATCTGTTATGTTTTCTAATCTACTGCGGTGTGTCTGGACGACTGACACAGTGGTTAATATCACAAGCAACGATGAATATTGTTCAAATAAAAGAGGCAAAACTCTTTCAATAACACTTGCAGTGTTGAGAAGATCAGCAACCTTGCAGAGTCCATCGCTTGGATAAAGTCAACAGGCCTGAAAAGTGAAACAGGTTTTCTGTTTGCTGCTCATTCCTACTCTCAACCGTCAATGTGTGATTTTGCATCTACCTGTAAATGTCGGATGTAGATTGTGCAATGAGTAATGCAGAAGGTTGCAGTGCTGGGGTGTCTTCACATTCTCCGAAATGTTCTGGGTGGGTTCGACCAGGCAGTGCTTCCTGGGAGAAGTCCCATTTGCTGTCTGGGCTGCGTGTAGAGGGGGCAAGGGCCCTGAGCTGATGATGAGCCTAACCAGCCTGACTGTTCCAGGATCACCCAAACCCTCTTTGTTGCATTTTTTATTTTAATCGGTACATAATAATAAGAATATGATGAATGTTCCCTACCGTATTGGTGTCATCCGTCGTAAACACATGCAATTGCATTAAAATGTGACTTCCACAAATTTAAGTTTGTAGAACAAACCGCACTCAGCAATATTCCATCTATACTGGACAAAAGAAATTAGGGATCGTGAATATTTTGGGGGATATCTTTTAAGTGGAGACTGGGCACATTTGTTCAGTATATATGAAATATTTAAACAAGCGACTCTGGACCAGACAATCCAGTGATTGACAGCATGAACAACGTGTCACACCGTCGGAATACTATGACACGCTATCCACTAAGTCAGTGAATCTGACCAGGTCACCTCTTAAATAATCAGCACAGCCTGCTGGCTATCTATTCCAACCTGGAATCCCAACAAGGGCGAATTTTAGTATCATAATAAATAGGAATGTGATACTCACGAACAAAGGCTGTGTAACAAGTATCCTGCTTCTCCAAGGAGCATATTGGGACGTCGGGCTCTGTTTGGAAACAAATCCATGAACAATAAAGTGCATTCATTCACATAATGGTTATCGTGAAATGCGTCATTATCCATACCATAGGTTATTGGGGACACCAAGAACGGGCAACACACATTGTGCATACTTTCGGAATCTTGTTCTTTTGTATGTTGTTTAACTCCGCACTCAGCAATATTCAAGCTATATGACGATGGTCTGTAAATAATCGAGTGTGGACCAGACAATCCAGTGATTGACATCATGAGCATCGATCCACGCAATTGGTATCGATGACATGCATCAACCAAGTCAGCGAGCCTGACCACCCGATCCCGTAAGTCGCCTCTTACGACAAGCATAGTCGCATTTTACGGCAAGCATGGGTTGCTGAAGACCTATACATCAACATAGGAGGCATCTGCCAACCATAATCTCTCTCTCTCTAACTGAAATACAGCAGAATTACTCAGTCCATTTTGAGTGATAACAATATAATCTTCTGATCCATGAAAGTTGTTGTGCCGCAACCACAATTGGCATGTTAATTCCGTTTGTTTTTTGGGTTGAGACATTATTTGTCTTTTCACTTTATCCGGTTTTCACTTCCATACAAATTTAATACATCTTTTCTGAAAAGTATCAATCACATCTTTTGGAAGGTTGGGTATGGATTAAAAAACATGATTCAATTTTGACAATAAGAGGCTTTTAAGGGCTACATTTCCACTTATTGTAGTAACATTTCTTACCGTCCATAGGTTCATTTCTCTCTCAAAATTTTCAAACTTTATTTTATAGTTATCCTCAACAATATTATCTTAATCAACATCAAAGTTTATTCCAAATAGTTTAAACTTTGTGTTAGGCCAGTCTAGATGCGAATCCTTACATAGTTTATATCTTTATCTCTTTTTTGAACTAGTTTTCTCCGCATGAACCTTAAGATCCGAAAATCTAGTAAAACACTGCAATGTGTGCAATACAGCATAATGGCCTTTTTCTGTTCCATCCAAATTTAGTGATGTATCATCTGCAAATATTTCAATTTTTCCTATCTTAATTCCTTATATTTTAGGATTATTTCTTGTCATATTTGCCAAACTTTTCGCACAAATTATAAAGATATATGGCGACACTGGGTCACCTTGGCGACAGCCTCTTAATATCTCGCAAATCCATTAACTACTACACTAGATTCCATGCCATTAAAAAATGTTGACATCCATTTTTGAAGACTTGGTCCAAATTGAATAGTGCATTAATGATAAAAGTTCTATTTACCGCATTAAAAGCTTTCTCGAAGTCTATTAACACCAGTAAACCTGGGATTTGATAACTTTCTTTGTAATCTATTATATCATATATAAGTCTAGTCACCTCTCCAATATATCTCCCAGGTACAAATCAGTTTTAATTCTATTTGCTATTGAATATTGGACGCTTAGGTTTTTATCCATAGAGACGCCTATTGCAAGTGTTTTTAGTTGTTCTCACAAGGCATTGCATTTTGTCACTGATACTGATTGGCTTGTGCGATCCAATTGTTCCATTGTTTTCGTTGTTTGAGACGTGACGTCATATGAACGTATTGCCGCAAATAATTGAAGATGACGTCACCCAGTATTCATGACGTCACAAAAGATTGCATGTGACCTCTTTCCAACAATAATTCAACTGAGCTGATGTGTATAGTTGAGATCAGAAGCTAACATTCTTGTATGATTTCTCACAAAAAATTATGGGTAATGTTTAGAAAAAACTATTCGCAACACAGAATTACAGATTATTTCGTAAGATTTTCTCCAAATCCGCCAGAAAAATGTCGTAAAACATTACTAACCGACACACAAATGCCAATTACAGCACATTGGATATTATAATAAGTAAAACTTACGTGGATCAGCAGGTCCGACACATCCACACACATTGAAAGCCTTGATTTGAACACACTCCATGAAGCAATGATCGTAGGTGTAGGGGGAGTAGTGCTTGAGAGGGTTCACAAACGTGGTACTAGTTGTGTCAACACATGTAGTATCATCAAATGCCATGTAGGGATCGGGCAGATACACGTACTGCGAGACAAAGATCCATTTGTATGTACAGGCCTAAACGTCACTGCAATATGGTATTCTTATCTGACGAGAGGTAGTGAATACATGTTGTTTAACGTATTATGCCAGCTACGTCACATGTCCTGGCTACCACTACCTATTTTAGCCTACTCTTACACCAAGTTTATGATACTGGAAGTCTATTTTGGCACTGTGTCCACACATTCAGTCCTTTTGCTTTTACATACAAACCCTTCGTCCACAAAACATGGCTTTTCAACAGGTTTCCATGATATATCCAACATGTATTATTGTCCAAATATTATGCTGTCTCAAACTTTCTACACAAAGGTTACAATATGACTCTATGGTAATGATAAAGTCCTAAACAAAGTTCTTTCACTGTAAATCTAAGCATCACTATATGATTGAATTAAACTGATTTTACTGCTGATATATGCTCATCTGGTTGAATGCCGAGTTTCCACATCCCCAGTTGTTAGAGTACATGCAAGTTTACTTTTATGTTTGTACTATTGTGGAAATACTTATTGTTCAATCCAGTTGACAAAGTAAACGCAATTTATGGATAACAACTTCTTTAATAACTGTGAAGGCGACGTGTCGGTATGCATCCTTATACCGTTTCTACAGAAACGTCAGCTGCTGGGTACTTTTGCTCCAGGTATAGTGTGACAAAAGTGAATGACATTCACTAAGGTCATGTAAACTGAATAATTCCAATGTGAAACAAGAATGAAATATACTTATTGACCTCGGACTTGTGCATTGCAACATAGGTGGAGAACCCTGGGGCGGCCATCACCACAGTGGGATTCGCGTCTGGGTGGTGTCTTGGGTTGTGGAGCAGCACCTAGAAACAAATGGCAGTGTGTCAATGCATTGTAAGGATAGCATATATGGATAAACAACTTCTTTATTACACCTAGTAGTGGCGTTTTTCAGTCAACCAATCTCAAAGATTACAAAATCAGGAAACTCCAAACATCAATCAACCGTGATCAAGACTAGTACATACCCCCTGCGTAGCATCAACTCATCAAAGACCACAATCAGTTACATTCCTTTTGCTTATACTACTGGCTTCATCTGTTATGATATTAACCTATTGTCAACCATTTCGAGTACATAACAGGCTTCTCCACTCCAGTGAAACTACATCCAAATATACTCAACAGTATAATTGAAGGGACAAGACCCTTTCCACATCCAATAGAAATATCTGCATAAGAAACAGATCCGATTGTACGATTCCGACAATATCATGCGCATGTGTTTATGAATCACTGTCAAACAATATTGATACCAGGTGTTCGCGAAAAGGTGAGCGTATCCTGTCCCACCGGTGGCCCCTGTCATAAACACATGCAAAGGCAACTCAATTGTTCACATGATGAAACGCGGTAACATATGGTACATGTCAAAATAGGGAATTGCATCGAACATCATTTTTATCACTGATGCGTCGAATTTGGAAATCAACATGTCTACCACAAAACGTTTTGAAAGTTTTACTGAGGCCTTGAATTGGAAAGTTGAAGCCACCCCTCTTGTCTTGTGGAGAGTGTTTTGTCACTCTCAATCTTTATGCTTATATCTTAATATGATATAGATGAGGCGGTCTCACTGGTCTCCTGTATTTCTAGTACAGGTGGGTAAATCAGTGGAAGGAAATTGGCTATTTGATTGTTATTGAACGATATCAGATCATCGATATACCTGAAGGTTAATTTAAACTTCTTGGCAAGATTACCTTGTTTTAGCTTTGCCAAAACGAACAGAACTTACGATTCATATGCATAAAGACACAGATCCGCAAGAAGGGAAGCACAATTAGTGCCCATGGGGCTGCCTACTTCTTACCTAAATGTATAAACACTGCCTCATACCTATATATGTGCTTGTCAACCATACTCTGTAATCACTTGCTTGATAACGGTGTTAGAACCTACACCGAAACGTCGCTCCTAATAGTAATAAAGAAGTTATGCATCCATATATCTGATTCTTACTTAGAACTCCAACTTCTTAATGGCTCTCAAAGAAGTGTCAATACATTGCAATATGTCAAAACACGGCAGAATGTCTGTATCTGGAAACATATCCATATCTGACTCCAAAACAAGCATTTCTGATATCAAATATTCTTTCATACATTGAATTTCCTTCACGACACTTATAACTAAAGTTATAAAAACACTGATCATTGTTTATTGCTCCAATGGTTGTAACATATCCCAGGAAGCGGATGGGCCTTGTCATAGCATGGTTTCATTCTGAGTAACGATGAAAAGACAATGTAAGATCTGTCTGTCTGTCTGTCGGTCTGTCTGTCTGTCTGATTGCCTAAGTAATATAAGAAGGCTATAGTATAAGTTGGTTGGTTTGTTGGTTGGTTTGTTGTTTAACGCCGCACTCAGCAATATTGCAGCTATATGACGGCGGTCTGAAAATAATGACGAATTTTGTTCTTGTGTGAAGGCAATCCGTACATTTATTCTACCACGTTGACAAATGGTATATGCTGAGTTAACGTATCCAGTACCAAAGCGAAGAACAAGAGACAGAAACAAATAATACAGAATTAAATATACGCATATGTTAATGGTTTCACGCATCGTGTGTACGCTGTTCATGCCAAATACTTGTTTGAGTATAATAACATGTATCATTTTGTTTCCATACTTAAACTTTGGGCTTTCCTACTTTCTAGTACTCAGCAATAATCTAGCTATATGCCGGCGGTCTGTTAATAATCGCGTCTGTACCAGACAATCCAGTGATTGATATCATGAGCATCGATCCACGCAAATGGGATTGATGACATGTATCAACCAAGTCAGCGAGCCTGACCACCCGATCCCGTTAGTCGCCTTTTACGACAAGCATAGTCGCCTTTTACGGCAAGCATGGGTTGCTGAAGACCTATTCTACCCCGGAATCTTCACGGGTCCTATAGTATAAGTACATTGTTCACATGAAAGTTATCTGGTAATATATTTGTGATATGTTCGTGTTTATTTGCATGTAACATTTAACTCACAACGTTTCTGTCGCAATATATTTTCGTCAAATTGTTCACAGTGATAATGTTGCAAACAAGCGAAGGCATCATCTTCCCAATGGCCACTAGCAGACTCTGCAGGCATACCGTATGGCATGCCGTTTTCACATTTATTACGAAATTACTGATATCTTCAATTGTTTTAAAGATATCAGTATTCTATGTAAAGCTATAAATAATGTTTTTTAAGATATACAAAATAATTAAATATATCTTGAATTCATTTCAGATATCCATAATACAATTACTGATATCTTAAATTTTTACGGTGATATCAACAAAATATTTCGTAAAATCTCTTAATGTATTTAAGATATCATCAAACAATTACCATCCCACTGTACATAATGATAGTAGAAATAAATTCAAGATATCCTAAATTAAGTTCAAGATATCTTGAAAAAAGTTATACATATCCACGAGTGCATTACATATATCATTCATTCGTTTTAGGAATCTTTAATTCAATTAGAGATATATTTCATTCAATTCAAGATATCATAAAATATGCCCATTACTGATATCAAAAAGCAAATTAAAGATATCATTAATATTTATGAAGATATCTTTATATCAATTGTTGATATCTGTAATATAATTTAGGTAACACGAAGGACTGGCAAAAGAATTATTCCGGTCCCCGAAAGTGCGGGAAGTGATTTATAGATACCTTTAAATACTTCCGGTCTGGCTACTTATGCGTAAATTCTTCCGGTTCCAAAATGGCGGCAAACCATGCCCAACTTGTGAAACTTGTCTCAACAGCACGCCATGCAATGAGAGAAGGAGTTGAGGGGATGGACTATGACAGCAGTGGTCAATATGAAAACATGGTCTCCGTAGTGAGAAGAAATTTTCAACCGTGGTTAGAAACATTACCCACAGTACGTAACAGACAGAAGTATTTAAAGATATCTATAAATAAGCGTATCTCTTTAATGATATCAACAATTAAAGATATTAATAATTAATTATTGATATCTGAATTTAGTTTCAAGATATCAGGAATTAAATTACTGATATCATAACAAAACATGACTTTTTGATATTTTTAAATCATATTTTGATATCATTAATCGAATTTAAGATATCAGTAATTCTTTTTAAGACATCAGTAATAAGCTACACCATATCCTTAATTCATTTCGTGATATCTTAAATTGTATTGCAGATATCTACAATTATCTGTATTTAAGATATCTTCAATTCCATTCACGATATCTTCAATTCCATTCACGATATCTTCAATTCCATTCACGATATCTTCAATTCCATTCACGATATCTTTAGAACAATTAAGTTTGGAATGACGTCAACAATGCCGTTTGGATGACTGTAACAATACTCTGGTGCGCGAGAAGTGATATTTGCACTAGCGCACATACGACTTTAATGAACTCGTTTATTTCTGACCCTACGGGTAATAAAAACCTTATATTTCCTTGGTCGTTGTACGACGAACGCCATACGATTCTTTCTCAAAAGTTGTTTGATCAAGGTTACAAGACCTCAAAACGTTTCATGGGAGTCATGTTAGGACATTTCCGAATTCGATTCATCATTGACAAAAAACAATGTCCCATGCAATTCCCTATTTGTGTTCCTGTGTCGTGAACAACTGACTTGTACTGCATGTGTTTACGACGGGTGCCACTGATAGGGCGATATAAGTTCACCATCCGTGGTTTAAATATGCTTAATTACTGTGCACATCTCACATGCTATCTAAAACGTAGCAACAGTGTATAAATACTGAAGTTGTCAGCAATATTATTAACGCATCGATGAGTAAGTATACTTTTACGTCCCCTTCAGAAAATATTCCCGCAATATCACGACGGGGGACTCCAGAAATGGGCTTCACACATCTACCCGTGTGATGTGACGAGTGAACGATTAAGCCGCTAGGCTACCCCACCGTCCCCACACAGAAAATGTTATGCAATGTGTGTGCTCAGTGATGGATAGTGTTTACACATATATGCGCACTGCGTCAATCAGTTCCTGTCTACAGTCTGTGTTTAACGATTTTACAGAAGTGTTCAACACAACTCAACTCACATGTGCCTCCTACAAACGAGTCCATTAAGCATGATATCAGTCTCAGAACTAAATGTGTTGGAAACTCATTTCACTCGATAAACATTACCCCAAACATACCATTGTCCCCTGGCAACGCGTGTGACGAGACAAATGTTTGTGACATGAAAGCCATATCCTCATTAATATGGCGATTACCGCAAATCAATAGCAATCACGTGGGATACTTTGATTTGATGTTTACATGTGTCATCACGATATGCCTCCCACCAACTTCCTGCACGTGATACGCCCGTCTCCCCCTGTATGAAACGCTCCCTCTTCTGATACACCCAACTTCTTGTGACAGGGCGCATTGTCGCCCCTGTGACCCTTCTACCCCCCCCCCCCCCCCCTCCCCTTCAATTCGACACTACCAATATACCCCCCCCCCCCCCCCCCCGATCTACCCTCTAGTGGCACCTCCCATTTTGCCCCAGGTGATACACCCATCTACCCTCTAGTGACACCTCCCATTTTGCCCCACCCATCTACCCTCTAGTGACACCTCTTAATTTGCCCCGGGTGATACACCAATCTACCCTCTAGTGACACCTCCCATTTTGCCCCAGGTGATACACCCATCTACCCTCTAGTGACACCTCCCATTTTGCCCCACCCATCAACCCTCTAGTGGCACCTCTCATTTTGCCCCAGGTGATACACCAATCTACCCTCTAGTGACACCTCCCATTTTGCCCCACCCATCT